TAGTAGTACAACATGGAGTAGGACAGCTGCTTTTGTCGAGGACTATAGGCATTCATATTATAGTAAGTAGACATCATTTCTCATTATGATGCAACTCAAGAAAAGTAGATATATATTATTTTTTGTTGATAATTAAACAATGGCTGAAACTGCGTTTGAATCATATGATGCAAAAATCGTCTGAATTTAATCGACTATTTTTAATGATAATTCCAGTGCATTTGTTTATTATTATAATTATGCATAAAAAGATTTTTCTAGAATCTGTTGGCATAATTTGACATCTAGTCATTGAAATATCTCTCTAATATTTATTAGAATCAATGAATCTGTAAGTTTAAACTACATTACTCATTAGTGAACAAACATTAAGAATCAACTATTGAATAAAGAACGCTTTAGTTAAAGATGCTAGATAATATACAATTTATAGAAAGTATTTCTAATCACGATCACCTATTTCTTTGTTAATTTGATACAAACTGAATCTTTATACTGATATTGATGTTACAACAAATAAAATTATTATTAAAGAAACAGGAAATAAAAAATGCGTTATACGCTATAAAAATAGCAGCACAATTAAAGTCGAAATCAATCAAAGAATTGTCAAGAAAAGAAATAGTTAATAACACGAGAAATATCTTTTGAAGAGCATTTAAATGAATTTTACAAAATTAGAGAAACAAAGACACAAACCTATCAAAATATCCGATGTATGTCAATCGTGTCTCCTTGATTGCAGACATGTTACCTTTATTTCAGGAAACAAAAAGTGTCTACTTTATGGAAACAATGAGAAAATAGATATAGTATTATGACTAGTGTACATTGCTTCGATTAACAATAATTAATCTAACATTTTATAATATTATCGAAAAACTTAGTCATGAAAACTAAAATTTCCTTTAATTAATATATGAGTGAATTGTGCTGACATTGTACCCTTGCATTCCATAGACGGACACATTTATAACTTAAAACTTGTTTTTATCTGTCTTCGCTTTGAAGTATTGAACAAGAAAGTTCAAAATCAGTAGTCTTTCGCGCTATCAACTTATAAAAGTTGATTTTTTTTGGTCTCAAAATTTTGACTAATTTCAATTTACCCATTAAATCTTGCAAAAAATGTCTGTACATACACATTGACTATTTTATGTGCTGATAGATTGAACTTGATCTACTAAAGCCAATTCGAAAAAAAAACGTGAATTCTGCTTTTGATGTTCGGTAGACTAAAGAACCACAAATCATTGGATAGAAACACATTTCTAGGAACCATCTGGATCAGATGAGAATCCAAAAGTACATAGAACAGGTAGCTATTTTCCTACTAAATGTCTGTACACAATTTTTTTGATTTTGTTTCTTTAAATTTCCGATAACTACAAGAGATCAGCCAATGAGTTTTTTTTCGTCTTTTCTAACTGACCGAACGACAGATGTTTGATAGAAATTTTAGCTTTTAAGTGAGTACCATTAACGAGAAAACATAAGTTAATTTCACTATTTTTGTCTTGAAGAATATCTAGATAGTCCTTTGAATCTTGATATTTATCAAAAGAGCGTGGACTCGTTTTGGTTATTAACATATCAAAATATTCAATGTAATTGATAAGAGTGATCTTGACTATGAACCTAATAAAATTTAAAGATTCCATTATTCTTCATTAATGACTTTTTTCTTGATTTCAATTCTATACGATTTCATCATTCAATAGACAACATATCTTTTTCGCTGGATATGAAATTATTTATTCAGCCTTCATATTCCAAAGTTGAAAATTTTATTACCATTTTAATCTTTCAAAATATGGAATATACATAAAAAATCCACAACTTTGAAAATGTCACGAACATCATACATGTTTTTTCATCGCAATAGAATATATGAAAAGTTCTGAAATGGTTTTTTAATTTTCTAATCACTATCTGCATGCTGTAGACATAATAGAGAAAGTTTTTTTTTTTTCTAAAAACAAATATTTGTTTTATTCAATGTTTTTTTTTGTTTGCGTGCTTTCAACTTCAATTAATGATTATACTTTCGAAGAGATAACATCTTTTTCAATATTACACCAACGGGATCCGAGTACAACATACTATGTATTCACAGCAGCATATTCGTGTAAACAAAAACATCCAAGTTATTGTATACCAGATGTGAGTGAACTGAAGATTCACATTCACATCCTTTCCTGGTCTATCGATATGTTACTTATGTGCAAAATATGGAACTAAAAGTGATGAATCACTGCAAACGGTTCCATTCTTAGCCTATTAATTTACATTCCTAACTAAAATATAATGTGTAGCATAGTTTTCCATCAGCATTGAAATATGCCAGTCAAAAACATTCATTTCAATTTGTTAGTTCAATAGAATTTTAGCAGATTTGTTTACTTCTAGTTTCAATCATTGTACAAAAAGAAAAAGAAAAGTCAAGAACGGATCCTAAATTTTTCCGAATGTTTTTGTTGATTTAACTTAATCACATTTTATAAAAATCAATTAATTGATCATTTTTATTGTGTAGTCGAATAGATTCGAATCCAACTATTTTTATTAAATTAATTTTTATAACGATAAATGACACATTCAACCAACAAAATTTGAAGAACTACACATTTGGCATTAAAAAAAACAGTGTTAATTGATTTATTTATTTTTAATGCAATATCCGGAATGTCAATTATGGAGAATGTCGAAGAAATATTTTCATGAAAAGTATCATTGACATATATACATGTATGTTGATTATTTTTCCAATGCGGGCAATATAGATGTGTAAAAAGAACGATAAAGTGTCGCCTTGAAAATGTTTGTTAAACAGGAAATCATTTTTTTTTTTTGTCGATTGTGAACAGTCATATAGGAAAAAAAGAAAATGTTGATTGAAGTTTACTACGGTGATGCTAATGTTTTACTTGTCAATGGAAACTGTCGAGTAAATTAGATTTTTGTTTGTTTTTATTTTCAATAAACTTGTTTGGTTTTTTTTTATTAATTAGCCAATACATTTAATAAATTATATTCGAACTCATTGTTGTTTATCATCATTATTAAAATTTGATTTGTGTTTATTAAATAGCGGAGAGCCATTGCATCTTTCATCATTTGATTCAAAATTTGTTTCATTTGAACGTCGTTGTTTTCCATCACATATTCGTTGTGTATTAACACAAATTGATGGTAAATTATTTACTAAATTTCTCTTTTTATAATAATAAGAAAAATAAAAAAAAAATATTTTTCATTTTAGAAGAAGGAACATATATTCCATTATTAAATGATTCAACATTGATAACAAATGAATTTTTATTGAAATTAAGAAGAGCAACAGGTGCCAAAGTTATATCAAAAGTCATTTCAAAATCAGAAAAACAATCAACAAATTCATTAGCTGAAGAAGCAAAAGCACGTCGAACTCTTAAATCATTCGTTATTGCTGCTTCTATTATGAACAAAACTAATCATTAATAAAAATAATTTTCAAACAAAACTCTACTTTTTAATTTCAATTATTCATCTTTTTGTGAAATGCGATCTTAAAAAAGCGTTGAAATTTAGAAATAAAACTTTGAACTTTTCTTCTGCATCCTCCTTATTGCATTTCTAGAAGGTTAAGTAAAATAATGTTGAAGAAATGTATCCCGTTATAAATAGAATAATACAATCTCACTGTGATTAATAACAGTATCTGTATCGTGTTTCACATTTTAATCTCACACCAATTGTACTAACAGATTTTTCATTGACATATGTTTTTAATAGAGAAAATTCTATTGGATAATCCCGATAGTTATTTAGTTTTGGTTGCTTTCTTCAATTTATATTTCTATAATAAAAAGTAATAATGAGAATAGTTTCATTAGTTCATTATTTTCCTAGTAGATGGTCATGAAATTTTCTTTAAAAAAAAAGATTTAACTTCAACATTGTTCTGAGAAACCAAGAAACAACATCAAAACGTTTCGAAAGTAAGAATCGAATGATGAAAAGTATTTTCGATGAGAATTATACTAAGAAATTACTTTCAAAAAATGAACCACATTCACATCCATATCCAACATCCTGTTCGCGAGATTCAAACGCTATCCTAAGCGTTTTATCCATATTGTTACAACACCTATCGATGAAGTTCTTCTTCGGTATGTACAGGATTCTGCTCAAGTTCAAGTAATGGTTCTTTTTTCTAATCCAACGTAGACTTTCGAAGCAGATTAGATATCATTCATTATACGTAATTTCTATAGAACGATTGTTCCGAATTAGTGATTCTCTATCCACCTATTGTGTAAATACGAATGTTGACGTCTTAAACTATTTACAAGGAAGATTCATTCATTTCATCTTTTCTTCATGTATGCATCATAGAATACTCTACAATTAATTTTCTCTCTTAATCGCATCGAAAATGACAGACAGAGAAACATAAATTGCGCATCTTTTTCATTACTCAGTAATCGTTCAATAGCTATGGAGTACTAAGACATTCTCTAAATAAAAATAAAATGCAATCAAATTTATTTTGTATTGTTTAAAAAATAGTATATATGTTGAATAATTTGAAATATTAATTAATGAAATGTTTCTCTTGATGGCATCTCATTGAGATCATTGTACTGTTTTATGAAATCTTTTTTTCTTTGATAATATTGTCGATTATTTCGAAAAATTGAAGATTTCTCTGATCAGTCGCCAGAGTGTCGAAACTTAGTTGATTGAATACATAAGCAAAAGCTAAGTGTTGTGAAAGTGATGCAAAGGCAAGACTGCCACCAAAGCCTAATAATGAAAAGAAAAATAATGAATTAGTGGATTACATATGATGGATTCATTCATCGATTCACTGCTTCTAATTATCGATACTGATAGAATGCAATATTTTGATTTTTTGATCAAAAACTGTGCATTAATTTTTTTTTGAGTTTAGTAAAGCAAAATAGATCGAACATGTTTTGGCAACTTTCAAAATTGAATGAGAGATACTTGTCAAATTATGCATTTCTTGAAATCTTACCGTGATGACCAAAGCCGTCTTCACCTAGAACGTTAAAAAAATCAGAATGTAATTCAAATCCACTTCTTGAAAATTTTGTTGTAAGGCCAAAAATGGTTCGATCCTGTTCATTTGGTGGTGTCACATTTTCTGTAGCCGATTTCAAAGTTTTCTTGCTCAGAAGACATGTTGTCTTCTTACCATTTTCATTAACATCATCAATGAGTAAAGCGTAAATTCGTGCTATTGAATGAGCATTCGAAATACCATTAGCAGCTGGTATGGCAGCTTGATGTACTGAACGTCGATTGAAAACGAATTCATCACTATTAGGTGACCTCAAAGGAAAGGCACCGTTGCATGACATTGACTTTTCGACGAGAGGATCCATTTGTGGTAAACTAGCTAGGAGACCGTCATTCTTAAAGAGAAAAAAGCAACAAGAAGCATGAAGAGCAATAAGGCAGCTTTCTTAGGTGACACAACTTTCAATATTACATATCTTGCTAAACTCAGCATCTGATTTTGACGAAACCTTCGCCATTAGTTTTAGTATACAACTTAGTAAATGAGACTCGACCCAGATATAACATCTTCATTTTTGACAGATACAATTGACACATGAGTGTTGAAGGATATAGCGAGAAAATTGAATTTCTTTCCTACAAACGGTTACAAATAGACCGACAGCACTGATAAAGCTATCGAATGTCACGATGATTCATGGGGCTGGGACTTTGCTTAACGAGTAGAACAAATTTATCGTGTTTCACATTTCAATCCAGCAGGGATTAGGCTGAAAGCCTTTCCATTGCAAGATTCCAATTCGATTAGCTTGTGTGATCATGAGATGGAAACAGTATCTTTATAGTGTATATTGAATGATTTCTCGAAGCGAGTCAATAACTGTATTATATATAGTGATACTCAAATCGATATTGTACGATTAAACACTTTGCATTTCATCTTTTTGAACGAGAGAACACTCATTAAAATTATATGAACAAAATTTCAGTTGCTTTTACCATACCTACACCCACAGCTTCTATTCTCTCTGTTTAAAAAGTACAAGCCATAAAAGTATTTTAATGACTGATATATAGCTATGATAGTTTCTTCAATGTTCTGCAATAGAAAACATATGCTTCTTGACTTTAGAATAGCTTATGAAGTAGCTTTTAAGATGTTTTTTCTTACTTTAGCAAAGAGAGGAGCGACACGCGCTTCAACATTGTTATCAGAAACCCCCACATAGAATTCAGGATCCAATTCATCACGAACAAATTGGCTATAAGAACGATGTTGAGGATCAACTCGCTGAACAAGTTCTCCAGCCAAAAATCCAAATGTATACGCATGATAACCATGTGTTGTTCCGGGTTCCCAATGAGGTTTCTGCTTAGCCAATAAAGAAGTTATTCGAGTCCAATCCAACACGTCATTAAGTGTGAGTTGTTCATCGACACATGGTAAGCCAGCTCGGTGAGACATTAGCTGACTCACCGTTATATTCTTCAATAGAGAAAAAATATATGAATATCAAATTGATATGAAAATATAAATTATTAAATTGATTCTTTCTAGTTCCTATCAGAATGTTAGAAGCTGTTTTTTGTCTTTTTTAGTAGCAATTTGTTCTATTTTTTTGTTAATCATTGTTAAATAGGTATGAATTCAATGATGAATCTTTTCTGTTTTTACTGTTTTTCATTCTTCTCTTTTTATTTCTTCTTGGTAGATCGGAATGATTCCGATCGCATTGTTTGTCGAATCTTTCGTGTGGTTATCTTCTTTTTGATGGAATACACATGACTAGGGAAGGGTAGAATCTAGAAAAAATGAATAATTATTTACAAACCTCCTTTCCATTGACACTGAACTCAGGCCAATATTTGGCTACAGGTGCTTCATAATCGAGCCAACCTTTCTCCACACATAATGCCACAGCAGCAGCTGCAATACCTTTTGAAGTTGAAAAAACTAGTTGAAGAGTATCTGGTGTATATGGTTCTTTCTTTGTCTCTGCATCTTTCCAACCCCCTGTCAAGTTCACTACACATTCTCCAAGATGATAAATACATAAGCTTGCTCCAGCATCGGATCCATCGGTTAAATTTTGTTCAAATTTTGTACGCACTTTTTCCCATCCAGGAGCTACCTGGCCAAATACGTTGTTGTCGTTTGATGACGAAGACATTATTGAATAGATATGTATGTGTTACCACAATTTTTCTTTTTGTACAGCCTCTATATCGAGAATAAGCACATAAATGCTTTATCCTTTCTTTTTCTGATGGAAATAGAGATACGGACGTACGCCTCGGCTTTGCTTGACCTATTTTTGGATATCTAGAGCGACATATTATGAGAAATATATCATATCGAGACTTGTTTCCTCTATTAAAGGAAGGATCATATGTAATAGTACAAATTTGTGTAATTGCATGCACATGTTTAGTCACGTGTCTGCATGTATTGATGTAATTTATGAAGTTGGACCAAAAAAAATCGAGATCAAGGAATCCAAATATATAATCGCTTTTTCGAAATTTTGAGTTTGATTTTTTTTATCAAGGAAAGTCTTTTTTATGAAAAAATAAAATAAGTTTGTATCTATACTTGTTTGTAGTCAGGTGTATAGTCACTTGCATCCATATATTTCTGAGAAATCGAATAAACTATCCATGATGGCTATACTTTGAGTCACACTGTCAGTCAATCAAATTTGTTTCCTGTTAGGTAGCACTCTAACAGTATTCATTGTTATTTCCTGTATTGTTTATCATCTTTGTTGTGTGTATTTGTGTCATCATTCGCAAGTATGCGCTATCCATTCTTGTACAATATAAGTCAATGTTCTTTTGCTTTTCCTTTCTTTTCTCCTCTTTCTCTTTCTCCTTTCCTATTTGTCCTTGAAAATTTCACCAAATCCTCAAGCTTTCTTCCTGTTTTTAATTGCATTTTAAAAGAAAATAACTTCATTATTATATAGTCTAATCCGAAGCAGGGCGATAATATCTACTATCTCAGTGAAATGTATTCGTAAGAAAATCACGATTATTTTTGATAACTGGTGTCAAAATTTCATTCTTTAGATGAAACTTCAAAGTTTCGCAGAAAATTCGATTAACATTGATTACAGTTTGTAAATCGATTGAAAATTATCTCCTTCATGGATTATTTTTCATTATCTCGATTGTAATTCGTTTTTTATGAACAATCGATTAAAATCTCTATCGACAAAAATCCAACTCATGACTTTTTATTTGTTTAATAATGATTATTTGAGCCGATAGAGAACTGAATGATTTTGGCTGACAAGAGACATTTTTGTCGGAGTATAAGTTCCTACTATAACAACGACAAATAAAAATATCATGTGACATATATCAGAATAGAAGTTCTACAACAAATGCAATCTATATTGCAAATAGTTCTTTTGAAGTTGAACAAAAATACATAGTATCGAAAAGATTTGTCAAATATTTAAATGTCTACAGTAAGAGATTGTGATCAATTCAATACTTAAATACATTGGTTAATTTTTCTTTCATTGAAATCAAAATATGAAAACTACTTAATCAATTTCTTGCCCATGTTAAATTACATTTGTTTCTAGGATCATAAGTTTACAAATGAGTAGATTTAAATCACATGGGATGTATACGAAATCGTCGTATGCCTTGCTTCACGGTTCTTTTAAACGCATCTTTATATGTTTTTGAGGATAATACATATACAATAAATGTCATCATTGATGGTAAATATGAAATTAAATAACCGAAAAGAAATAATCATGAATTACGTGGTGATTTCATACATCCACTAATAAATGATATAATTAAGCGTGGTAACGCTAATAATACTAATGCACATGATGCAATCAGATGATGTTTATTTTGTTTGAATTGTACTGGTAAAAGTTCTTTGAATGATAATCTTGGTTGTATAGAATTAAACGAGAATGAGTTATTAAAATGATAATAAATAGAATAGAAATTAAATTCATGCTAAATGAAATAATAAAATGTACGATTATGATAAATGAGTTAAAGATATTGGGAAAAATTTCAACTCGTCACGATTTTTGTTTTCTGGCTTTCGTAACGAATTGACAATACGAAAGCCCGTAACAGAGCTTTCGCAACGACAGAATCAGGGCTTTCGTAACAAAAAATCAGGGGTTTCGTAACAAATTTTACAGGGCGATCGTAATGCATGTTTTGATATGTACCATTACAGGGCTTTCGTAACGAAAAGCATGTAATTTCTGGAAACTAAGTCCAGCTATCACCCTTATCCTCATTACGAAAGCCCTGTTGCTTCGTTGCGAAGGCCCTGCAACTGTTACGAATTTCCTGTGTTAATCGTTACGATCGCCCTGTAAATTTTGTTACGACATCCCTGTATTTTTGGATATTCCTATTTTTGGTGTTACGAAAGGTCTGATTTTTTATGTTTGTTCAACTCGTCACGTGACGAGTTGAAACTTTCTCAGATATTGATTGAAGGAGAATATTGAACTAAACACCAAATTCGTTGTTTATTAGTATCAATATCATCAATCAAATGACGATGTAGAGGAATATGAAGATGACTTATTGATGTACAAAGAATGACACTTAAAGTTATCCATTTAGCTAGTTTTTTTACTTTTATGTTTATTAAATCTATTATGTTTGATAACAATAAATATGCGTTCAACAGAGACACATCCATAAAGCCAATTATTTGAAGCCAAAAGAACTTGAAGAATCATATCTAATAACGTACAATTTAAAGTAAGCAATGTTTGATTAGTAAGAATAGCCATTTGCGATAAATCTAATAGCCACTATTTGATAATCAATGTACCTATTATGAATATAGAAATGTATGATGAAATTAATAAATAAAAACCACAACCAATATCTCTTGTTATTTTCATACGAAATATTGATATTGACAAAATTTCATTGATCAAACCAAAAATGAACATAACTGTCGTGAACAACACACTTATTTTAACAATTAATGGTCATCGAAAAAATAAAACATTTGGTTTAATATGATAACTAAGAATATAATCAAGTGATAAAAGAAAACTTCTTGTTGAAAATTGACATTTTGTTCCATAATAACAATCTGAACAAACAGATACTGATACACTAGGACATGTGATATTGTCTTGAAAACATTGACCACTATTTTCACAATTACTATAACCTTGACAATCATAAGTAGTTGAATGATTGAATACAAAACAATTTGAGAATCGATCCAAATCATATATACACATGTAAGTTTCATCATAGAAACACATTAATTATTGATCTTGTCGACAAAGAAGAGGATAATATTTGATATGATGAAGACGAGGATAAGAACGAAAAGTTGTGTTCAATAATTCATCTATAGAAATACAGCGTTGATTTGATATTAATTCAGTTTGAATATATTCTGATTCAATAAATCTTTCTCTTAATATAAGCAAATAATAAGTATGATTAAATAATTCACCTATGATAATATGAAATGGATGAGTGACAAAGAGTGTAACTGCATTTTCATCATAGTTGATTTTTCTCAATGTTGTTATACGTTGATGGTTGGCATTTTCAAATGCAATGATATAATGTATAAATACAGCTGTCGTTCGACTAATTGTTTCATTAAATTTAATATAAATTCTGTTTTTAATATTTTCACATCTACTTCCATAAAAACTTTTCTTACAAAGACATGTAAACTTGTTAATACTTATACGATCATCAACAAGTACACAAAGTCCATTATTTTCACATGGATTATTTAATGATTGACAAATTGCATGTTTCAAATAGCAGTTTGGACCGTATTTGTTCATGGAACAAACACAAATAGATGAACTATAACAAAATGAATCCAAGGAGCAAGAACAATTTTCTTCAATATTACATTGTAAACCAGAATAACCTTGATCACATTGACAAAAATATAAAAAATTTTTATTTATGTATCTCATACATCGACCATGGTTTCCACAAGACAATAGACAAGATTTTTGTTGTTGTTATATATTTGGAATAGATAATTGAGTAGCTATTCGATTCACTGGTAAAAACTGAAAAGAAATCGATAGATGCCAACTTGCCAAAAATGTTAATGTAATTTTATCAAAAATATCGATGTATATTGGGCAATTAGTCGAAGAATTTTTTCGTTGGTCAGGATAAAGTAAATAGATATTAAATTTTGTTCCACAATCACGTTTTGGTACATATGTAATTTGTTCATAATAAGATGTGATTTGTCTATGTTCATCAATAAGCATGATAATAACTTGAAATACGGACATAATATAAGTAATAGTACGATATATTAATTGCAATGTTAAACTAATACGTTGATTTTGTCATTGACATCGATCACCAAAATAACTTGAAGGACAAAGACATTTAATAGTTTTATTATTTTCAAATAGGATAGGAATTTCTCGACTACAATACCAATTACTTTCATACGACAATGAATATATAACTGTTCTTCCATCAAATTGAACAGTTTGTTGAACAGCGGAACTAATAGAAGCGGGTGAAAAATAGTCTAATCGAGATGTTCTTAGAGATAGTTTCGATTCTCTTGTCGTAACTCTTTGTGATACTAAATGACACAATATAGTATGATCGGTCTCTTTCGTAATAGCAGCTAGTATTTTATAAGCAGATGGTATTTTAGTTTGTATTGAACAAATATCTTCCTATGCGATTGATACTGATCGGTGATGCAAAGAAATATGCTCTGAAGTGACACATTTTGTTTCATTCCATAGAAAGTAATTCGTAGAATTTTGATGCATACCATTATTAAGATAAATTTTACGATAGAAAAAAGGCGAAGTCCAATTTGAATATGATTCGATTAAATGAAATACTGGTATGTAATAATGCTCATCTCCAAACGCAGCTTTACACATGTGTTCGTGCAAAGAACATTGTGTTCTAGAACAATTGAGCTCATCAATACCATTCAAACAATACCAACGATTATCACATTCAAAATATGGATTATTACATGGCCACCATTCACAATGAGTTTCATCGGTTTCATTCGATATATTTGTCCACTTCAAATCATTTTCACCATCGCAAACAAGTGCCAATGGTATATTTCCCTTGGAAAGATGACGTTGATATTCATCCCATTCATCTTCACCATGCTGACAATCTTCTTTTCCATTCTGGAGAGTAATAATTGATAAAAATTTATTTGTTTGTGATTCACAAGTAAATCCTCATAAATCATTCAACTCACAAGCAGAAAATGATTCATCTTCAGCGAAATAACAGTCATTTTCACCATCATTTAGTTGATGTTTTGAAATGCATTTGAATGAATGTGAACATGATTGATCTGTACAAATTGTAGAACATTGTAAAATGAGATCTTTGAAAATAATATACAAACTTTCATCCCAAAACTTCAATTTCTCATTTGTTAGACTAGCGGTTCGACAACAATTGAGTTCATTATTAATTTCAATATCTTCTGTACAGAATATCAATGCAGGACATCGGCTTGCATTGAAATAAATAAAATCAGGCATCAAATTTTGCTTAAAGTCAATAACAGATCGATTATTGAAATAAATAAATTGAAAGAAACCGTACAACATAGGATATTCAGGTCAAAAAAACCATTTGTATGAGCAATGATTGACAAGAGTTTTACAAAAATTATTGTTATTTGTCTTTATTGTATTATCAATTTGATCAATACGAAGTAAACAATAAAATATTTGTCGACAATTTATATTCGAACTATAATCCAGTGAAGTAAACATAACGAAAGACATATTTTCATCGCGATAATTATTACAAGTATGTCGAAAATGTGGTATCAATCGGTCGTAATATTCACCATCGCCACATGGAAAATTGAGAGAACGTCGACTTTTATACTCTTCACATCGAAATGTTGGACTGAAAGCACATCTAGTTTTGTAAAAGAGGAACTTGTCATGTGTGTCGCTTTCATCACTACCATCAAGACAATCTACACTTATCTGTCCATCGCGAACAAATATTAATGGAATACATTG